TTGGCATGAATGCTGCCTACTTGGACGGTGATGCTGAGCAACACGGTTGGAAAGACATGTTCGAAGGTTGCACATTGGTCATTGTTGCAATTGAATACAAGTCAGAACATTATCCACTGTGTCATGGGGATCTTGTGTTTGAGTTGGAACAGTATTGTGATGCCACAGGGTGTAGGTTTCTCATTGTTGATGTCGCACACACTGAACGATGGGAATCATTCAAAACACCACAGATTCCATACATCAATGAAGTTGGTCTTGCTTTTGTGTCAAATGATGATGAACTCATTCAAGGTTTTCAAGACTGGTCCATGTATCGACAATTGGATGACGTTTTGAATTGGGAGTTTTGTCAATGGATTCGTGATTGGTCACTTGAACGTGAATTGGAGGAGCAGATGAGCGTTGCCTTTCCAGCAGAGATCATCGAAGAGGCTCAGGAACATGGTGGGAACTGGGATGCAGTCGATGGCCCAGAAGATGTTGCATTGCAGGATCCAGTTGAGGACCTGACACATGAAGAGACCCTTTTGGATGATGTTGATATCCCTGGATTGCCAGAGGATGAAACAGAAAGGCGTAGGTCTTGGCGCAAACTTCCCCAGCGTGTCAGGATTGCTGTGCGTAGGTTGCACAGGGCTTTTGGACACGTCCCCAAGTCGGTGATGGTCAATTTGGTGCGTGCTGCAAAGGTGAGTAAGGAGTTTGTTGATGCAGTGAAGTTGCATAGATGTGAAACATGTGAGAAAACATCAGCAAAGAAACCCACTCACAAAGTCACGCTTCCAAGTGATTATGCATTCAACCATACTTTGGGGATTGATGTACTGGAGCTGACAGATGTAACTGGGCAGAAGTATCAAGTTCTCAACATGGTTTGCATTGGCACTTGTTTTCAACAGGCTGAAGTTGTGAAGGTTGGAGCAGGTCAAGCTTCTTCGCGATCCTGTTTGGACGCACTTATCAAACGTTGGTTCAGTTGGGCAGGACATCCTGTTGCTATCATGTGTGACCGTGGTTTGCACAATCGTGGTGTCTTACAACAATACATGGATGAACATAACATTCAAGTGCACCATGTGCCCCTTGAGAGCCCGGAATCATTGGGCCGAGTAGAGAGGCATGGTGGTTTGTTGAAAGCTCTTTTCAGGCGAGTGTGTACAGAAGTTGGGGCTTGTACCAAAGAACAGGTTGAGTCGTGCATCACACAAGTGCTCAGTGTGAAGAACGACTCTGCACGTGTTGGAGGCTTTTCTCCATCTCAGTGGGTGCTTGGTCGAGCTCCACGTGGTGTAGCTTCACTCATGTCTGAGGAAGACCATGCACAGCTCGGAGCCATTCAGGCCCGACATGACCCTTCATCAATTTTTGCATTACAACATTTGGCCAGGATTGAGGCACAAAAGGCTTTTGTTCACCTTGATTGTTCAAGAAGAGTTCAACGAGCGTTGACACGCAATGCCAGTGTGTTTGACCGTGAGTTCAACATTGGTGATCTCGTCACTTTCAGACGAGACAATCAACGAGGAGGAACGTCCTGGTCACCAACATGCCGTGTGATCGGACACGAGAACCAGAAGAACATATGGTTACTATGTGGTAACGTTCCAGTACTTGTAGCTTCCCACAACATACGCATTGCTTCTCCTTCTGAAGCTCTTGCTCAATCAGTGTTGAATGGTGAACCTGTGATTCCATACAAGATCATCAATGATACAGGTCAACAAGCGTTTCTTGATGCAAGACAATCAGATGAGGTTGAAGTTGTTCGTGATGGTCCAGGACAAGCAGATGATGTTGAGGTTGTCCATGAAGGCAATGTGGATTCAGCACTCCCTCCTATACCAGAAGTATCTGAAGATGAATGGGATATACGGCCCGGTTTCTTTGAAGAAGATGAGGAGGAGGAAGATACAGGTCCTATGGAAGAAGACATCTTTTCGCAAAGTAGAACTCCAGAGAGAAGAGTTGAAAGACCACGTCCAGGAGATGGAGATCATGAACGCAATGTGAGACCTCGAGTAGAGTCTCACCTACAACCTGAGTCGGAGAGAGGCTCATCACTTGTGCCATCTCGGAGAGACTCCTTTGTGCCTGATTCTACTCCAAGTGGCTCCGTTTTGGGACCACTATCCTCGCCGTCAGCATCATCTTGGCCATTACGAAGAGAACTTTTGAATGACTTACCACATCAATTGCGAACACATCTTGAAAGAGCTCGTGAGAGAGACTCAGAACGAAGTCCTGAAGAACAACAAGAAGCACGAGCATTGTTTGCATCATTTTTGTCCCAGGAAGTTGAAGTCCCTGAGGACGAAGAGCAAGGTAAGAAAGTGTTGAAATCAATCCACTATGAATCAGCGTCACCTGATGTACAGAAGAACATCATGGATGCCAGAACCAAGGAGTGGAGCAAGTTCCTTGAGTTCGCTGCTGTTGTTGAAATCTCAAAAGAAGATGCTGAGAGGTTGATTGCTGAAGGACATCAATGTATTCCTAGCAAGTGGGTTGATGTTGACAAGAATCAGTTCATGAAAGGAAGATCAGATCAAGAATATGTGCCAAAGTTCAAGAGCCGGTTGGTATCATGCGGCAATTTCGAAGTCAGTGAAGGTTTGAGATCAGACAGTCCTACAGCAGATACGGAAGCTCACAACATTCTTTGCTGTTGGGCGGCGATCCAGGGTGCACAATTGCACAGTGCGGACGTCGCATCCGCATATTTTCAAGGTCGTCCTCTCGACAGAGTTCTCATTATGAGACAACCCCGAGGAGGTCTCCCGGGAGTTGATCCATATGTGTTTTTCCTTGTGAGAGTGCCTGTGTATGGATTAACTGACAGCGGTCGAGGTTTTTGGTTGAGACTGGACGGAGACGCCCGATCCAGTGGCTTGAAAAAATCCAAGTTTTACCCAGGATTGTATTTTCTTCCAGGAACCGACAACGATTGCGTTGCACTTATGGCGACTCATGTGGATGACATCTTGTACGCATACATTCCCGAGGGGAAGTCAGTGATCGACAGCTTCTTGGAGAAGTTCAACTTGGGATCAAGTGAATCAAATTCGTTTCGCTATTGTGGCAAGCAATTTGAGCGTACTGCAGATGGAACAATCACACAAGACACTTGTGACAACACCCGTCGCATCAAGCCGATCAAGATCGCGCCAGGAAGATCAGCGTCCGAGCCGTTGGGTAAGGATGATGTGACCCGATTACGGTCTGTAACGGGATCATTGGCATGGGTGGCAAGACAGACTAGACCCGATTTGGGTTATCGTGTGAGCCGCCTACAGTCCAGTATTTCTGGAGCGACAGTTGCTATTTTGCACGACGCAAATGCCGTAGTACAGCTGGCACAACAAAGCATTGAGAACAAGCTCATTTTTCCAGGTGGACATCTAACCTGGGGAGAGGTTGGTATCATTACAGTAACAGATGCTTCATTTTCAAACGAGAAGAACTACAAATCACAACAAGGACGTTTCCATTTTCTTGGAGACATCAATGAGATCAAAGACCCCAAGACTACATCCTACAGGGTGATGCCATTGGGATTTGCATCAAATACAATTCGGCGAGTATGCCGCAGCACTCTTCAATGCGAGGCTTATTCACTGCAGGCTGGACAAGAGAGCGGTGACAAGCTACGTGGAGCATTGGCCGAACTGATGGGCCAACTTGACTCGATGAAAACATGGTTGGATGACAGCCGCAGCTGTATTCCACAACTGATGCTTTCAGACTGCAGGTCTCTAACAGACCATCTTGCGAATGAGGTACTCGGCAGGGTCGCAGACAAACGACTCGGCATTGAGTTGCGGTCGATTCATGAGTCACTTTGGCAAGACGGCCGGAGGACCTGGGATATGCATCATGGCGGAGGAGACATTGTTACCTGGATTGCTACAGGGACTATGGTCTCGGATGCTCTGACCAAGAGCATGCGCCCGGACCTCATTATCCGCGTTTTGAAGGAGTGCATTTATCGTGTACAGAAGAAGCCTTAGAGCCAACTTTTTCACTAGCATCATGTGATCCTTGAAGAACAGGTTGAGTGTGAGTTTGACCTGTCTAATGTATATTTTGTATAGCCAAGTGATCACATGCCCCCGTTGACATTTGGCTTTAGGGCCCTTGAGTCATACCGCGCTGCCGTGGTAAAAGTTGGGCATTTGACGATCCCGTTTCCAATTCATAAAAGTATTTTTCCACCAGACAAGTGTGAAAAATGAACAAAAATGGCGTGTTTCCAGACTGAAACTTTCCGGTGCTAGCCCCTGTTGACAAATGATGCACGCTTTCCTTGGCATCTGAGTTGCCACACTGGTGACTTGGGTGTGAAGGGAGGAAACATCCGCACAGCATCTGCAACTTTTGTTAGCCATGATGGCTGCACCTGAAAAGAGCAACTCGAAGTTGTGCTCACCATGTGTAGGGGGCTGTCTGGGCTCCATGTACAGTACAGAATCACTTGCCCGGCGACAAGTAAACCGGCGAGTTGATCTCTTGTGACGTTGCACCAAGCCGACCAAGCGCACAGTTCTTCAGTTGCTTTCTGAGTACAAAGATTGCAGCCATGGGAGCACAGATTGGAACTTTTTTTTTGTGTCACCTCAGGGTTCGAGATGTTCATACCGAGGCCCTCAATTAATATAATTAGCCAAAAACATCCAGAAACTGGGGTACCTTCGGCCTCCAAAGATTGGATGCCCAGGCCGTGATGGAAGGCAAATGGAAACCGGCACCTGGCAAGTCCTGGCTACCCAGTTGAGGTTTACTGTGATCAACAGTTGTGATTCAAGTGATCTGGAAAAGACGAAGATTTTGAAGGATTTCCGAAGTAAGAACAAGAACATATATCATATGGTCATCAAATAGTTGTAGAGAGTGTGATGAAAGCTACTCCCAGTTGGAGGTCGGACCTCATCATAGAAGTCGTAAATTGCGGCATGCTACGGTCCTGGTTGGCACATCTTGGCATGGCCTCCATTCCCAAGGTATGATCCTCAGAAGCCAGAGGCACATGTGGACTGCTTGGCCATTTCTCCGGATAAGGAACAGCTGGGCACCTTAGACTCTGACCGGAAAGATCCTGGAAGGAAAGTGCTGATCCAATCCTACCCATATTGATCCGGAAAATCACAATGTTTGTATGTGTATATGTATATATATATATATGTTTGTTAGGTTCATCATCACTGGGGATGTCTGTTGCCATTTTTCTGTTGCCAGGTTGGATGACGGATGGCATCTGTCGTAATTTCCCGTCTTTGGAAGGCCTGTACGATCTTGAACGGATTTGAACGGAGTCTTCAACACAGGAACTGGTTATGTTGATATCATCAAATTGTACCATAAACATTGCATTGCCATTTTGGGCTGGGCACCTCTCATCCAGGAAAGAGGTGCCATTTTTGGGCATACCTGGCATTCCCTGGACCAAGATCCATGTTCCTGAGGTCAGGGAAGAACAATAAGAAGGCTGTGAGAGGGAAATTCTGGGTGAAGATCTTTGAAGACTGTTGACATCTGTTTACCAACATATGAATGATGCAATTGATTTTCGGAAAATGGAGTTCCAAAAATTGTCGAAACTTACGAAACCCTGAACTCAACCATTTGGATCCACAGAATGCCCTTGACATTGAGGCAGTTCAGTTGGGTCCCGGCTACTACAGCCCGAACTTTGGTGTGATGGAGGCACGAGATGATTTGGCACAGATGGCAGGGCTGCACATCTCTCATCCACTTCACCTGGGCATTGGCAGTCCATGGTATTTTGTTTATTTTTTTTAGGGGGTACACTCTGGTAATCCAACATGACAATGGACAATTCACCATTCGTGGATGATTTCCCATTGCCACGTTTGATTTCGAAAGAGTTCCACGGATCTGCAGGGAAGCCTTTCATGTCACTGTTCCACGTGCCAGAAGCGACAACCCGCCTTCCAAGTTCCACGTCAGGCAACGGTTCCACGCTGCAATATGGTGGATGGGGATAAAGCATGGCATTTTGAATCCAGAACTATACAGCAATATATAGGATGAATATGGATGAATAAGGTGTGTAGGGTTTAGTAAAACGATGTAACACCCATCCGTTTTTGACACTTTTGGGGATGCCCCCCTTTCAACATTTTCAACCCCCATTTATATAAGGCGCACGTAGGAGACCTGGCAAACCTGTCGCAGGAAGCGCGAGCTGCTTTCATCTCTAAGGACAAGGAGCATCCCCCCGGTCACGATGCTACCCGAAGCCCGCCCATGACATCATGAGTTGGATAGGAGAAACAATTCTGTTCGGTTGATGGTTTCTGGTAGATTGTTGTTTGACACCTCAGATCGCAACTTGTCAAATCATTTTGTGGAGGCCAAGACATTGACACAGCCTATACAAACAAGCTCTCAACTTGAAGATGAATGTTCAAATAAGATGAGTTAAATATCGTAAAAACGTGTTTAGCATTCCCTTTCCTTCCGAGTCCAACACTCTTTGGTTTTCCAACTTCTTCTGCAATGTGAATCGCTTGGTATTCGATTTCCGTGCCCAACCATTCAAAGCCCAAGATACACTAAACATATAAGCAGACATAGCAAGGGCAGCGAGTGAATTGGTTCGGGTTCATGGTAGTTAGATCATTTTGTGACACTTGATCAAGCAAAGCACTTGAGAGGTATGACTCTATGACTATGGCTTGGCCGGATGTGTGTAAGCCACTATTTCCAGACTGATTCCAGACATTGTTCACCAGAATGATTGACGCCGAGAAGTGGCTTCAGAAGTGGTTGTCGTATGTTGCCGTCATATTTCATAATCTCTTCCATTTGTGTCTGGAAGTGAAGCTCACAACACTGCACAGGCTGTGGTTTCCAAGACTGAAAAGAACATGGGAAACTCCACCCCATTTCATCAAAGCTCCACATCAACCAACGTGCGACCTGCACAAGCCGGCAAAATGCCGTCCGCGCAGTCGGTGACGCCCTCAATACGCCAGTGGGGAAAGCTCGTGGCTCCACCAATCTGCAGATATAGTCCTTGACTATCCTTGACTATCCTTGACTAGTTGTTTTCTGGAATAGTTCTGGTTGGTCTTGTACAAGGACACATTTCTAGCATTTTCATCAAGTTCCGTCCCTCGGACATTAGAAAAGCTATGAATATTATGAATTGCGTCAGGTCCAATGGTGCGCGATGGTTGCTGTGGGCTTTTTGGCCTCAGAGGTCCAGATTGTGACCACTGGGCGCCGTGATGAATGGACATGAAGCAGCCCTGATTTGTGGACATCAAGATCTCTCCACTTTGGTTGCTCCATCTATTAGTTGATACACCCAGAATCTGCCAAAAAAATGCTTTATATTGGAACGCTTGCAGGAAAGCCTATATTTGCAGGTAAAAGCAAGAGTTTAAAACAAGTTTTAACCGTAAATGGTGAAATCCATCCATAGAAACCTACAAAAACAATCCATCCATGGCTGATTTCCCCCTTGGAATCCATTGGAATCCCATGAGCCAATCCATCAATCCAGGCTCTCCAGCGCTGGCGAAGGCAACAGAGCTTGGCCGCCGATGCCTTATGATGGCCCAAGACTTTTGCTGAAAGGTTGAATATGGTTGAATGATACTACGTATATAATCTGTGAATGTATATATATATATATATAATTATATATAACTATATAATTATATATAATTATATATAATATTATAATATTATAATATTTAATGTATATATATATGCATATAAATTATATACGACATTAATCTTTTCTCAACATTTCTGGGGTTGTGCGAACTAGTTTTGTAGGAAATTTGGATCTGGCAGGTCTTGCGCATTGCTCAAAAGGCTCTGATTCAAAACATTGATCTGCGAAAAACGGACGATTTGCTACCCCCGTAGATGAACAGATACATTGAGGCTATACCCCCTTGACTTTTGGTTGCGAGCGGCACCGAACACCGGATGGCGTAGTTGAGCTGCACATCTCAGAGCGATCCAGAGCGTCCATTTCCAGAGGCTGTCCGACGTGAGCAAATTGATTTTGAAGAGATGCTGTCACAGGAAGCGGGGCCCTCCGAAGGAGCAGAGTTGGCCCGCTTTTAGTTTCCAAGGTAATCAAGACGGAATAGACATATATATATATATATACACACCAATTCTCAGCAGTTTATCTGGTTTTCTTGGAAGTCATAGGAAGAAACGGGATGATGCTGATCCATGCTGATCCATGCTGATCCCAGATTTTAAATATATACCAGTCTTATCCAGTTCCAACGAAAACGCAGGAGCTCAGTCATCTGCTGAAGCAAAGCCCACTTCCGATGAGGCGTTGCTGACGTTTTTTTTAAAGCCTACTGTAAGTGGGTGATTATTTGAGCATGTTTGTTAAACAAATGCTGTAGATGGGCGACTTGGGGAGAACATCGCATCAATGTTTCGTATTCTCGACCGGGAGGTTGCGGAAACAGTACAAGTCCTAAGGTCCTAAAGCATGTAAGATACAACACCTGCAAGAGTGCCTTGATGTTCTGCATTTACATACCGCAGCATGCTTAGTTTTGAAAGAGCTCGGTTTTAGCAACTGCAGCCATGCAGATATTCTGACACCAGCAGGATGCTTCAAGATGCTGTTCCAATCTATGCTTTCCCGCTGCGCCAGGCCTCAAAACCAGAAGAAAAATTGTCCACCACTTGGTGACTGGAAATAACCTTCTTTTTCAAGTTACGACAGACGTGCTCATGTTGATTTAGAATATTTTCAAGCGCAGATTTGCAAAAAAAACATGTTGGCAAGGGTGGGTATCACAGTAAATGTTTTCAGTATTTGGGTGCAAAAAGACCATCTCAGTGTTGATACTGCAAACTCTTTGTGGAACCTGTTCTCCAGTAGCCACGCAAGATGAAGAGATGGGAAATTCAACACGTTTTCGTGACCACGGAAGTCCTAGGTTTGGACTACGAACTTTGTTGGAGGCTTTGCAGGCTGATTCCAGCATGGGAAAGGATGACACCAGGAGGAAGTAGGATCAAGATTCATCAAGGATGAGGGATGTTCAAGGAAGGTTCTGCTGGCTGGAAGGCCTTAAGTTTGCTGCTGTTTTCAGTTTTCTAGCTTCGATTGAGAGAGTTTGCCCTTGCTTTTCCAAACATTTGAACCAGCGGATACCTACCCGCCACAGAAAATTGGGTGTGGTTTCGCCACCAGTTTCGGAAGCCATCAGCTGTATCACATGATTCATCTGGGAGGATTCAAAATTGAGACCCTGCAACATTTTCCTGATCAAAGGACGGCCCCATGGGTCCGCCGAACCTTTTCCGCCAAAGGCGGCAAAGTAGAGGTTGATACAAACGCACCACAAAACACCATCACCCAACACCGCAACAAACAGGTTCCAGTTTGAGGTTTGCATTCACCTTTTGAGTCAAACATATTTCATCTTCCCAGGCCAGTTGTAAGACATTTTTCGCTATGGCAATGACTTTGCTAGCACTTTGCCTCTTCATTTTCAAGATGGACTCCGACCTGCTGGTAGCTCGCGATGGATGATGATGACGCTGCAGACGTGGATACAGACAGCTACGAGGTGCTCTCCACCCACCCGTTCTGTCGCGGCCTGCGGAAGGAGGTGGTCCTGGCGATATCACGGGCCTCCAAGCGATGGGTCTTCACCACACCGGGCCGGATCATTGTGCAGGAGGGGACCGTACCTGGGTGCAAAGGTTTTACAAAATGGGAGGTTTCCTTTGAAATGGGGCTACCCCATATCATCCCAAAGTGGAACATTTCAGTATTGACACAAATGGTGGAAAAAATGGTGAAGAAAAAACAAGAACTGCAAAGAGCAGAAAGACCACCAAAAAAAACCAAGCCAGTCTTCTTCGTTGAGTCGTGACAGTCGTGCCAGACCAAGTGCCAAGCTCTTTTGAGTTCTAGATCGGAGAAGGGGTTGCACATGTTTCAAGTGATAAGTGAATTGGAAAACCAACACGACCGTCATGCCCTAGGAAAAGCATGGGATCCTGTATGCTGCATAATATTATATAAATGTATATGATAATATTATATTTATGCATATTAATCGAAGGAAGTTTAGAAGTCAAACTTCCGACAATATGGACAGATGGAAAAGCAGAGGTGGGAAGAGTCAGAAAAGAGAAGAGAAGAAGCGAGAAGATCAGAGAAGAGAAAGTCTCAGAAGAAAGAAGATCCAGGTGCCCGAAAAGGTAGGAAAGTTGCGACTCACTGTGTTTTTTCCAATGATTTGTCACTCCGGAGGGTCGAAAAGTAGGCTCGCTAAAGCGGCGGGTGCGGAGCCAAGTGGCCAGATGAGAGATGAAAAATTGCACGCGGTTGTGGCGCGAAGCACATTTCCAAGTCAAAATGTACAAAGCACACCATGTTCGGACCACTTTTGGAAGTTGAGATGTCCAAAAAGTGCACGCTGTTGTGGCGTGAAGCACATTTCGAAGTCAAAAGTGTAAAAAAACTTACGGGGTCGGATCACTTTTAGAAGGTGACATGTCGAAAAAGTGCACGCCGTTGTGGCGCGAAGCACATTTCCAAGTCAAAATGCACAAAGCACGCCATTCTCGGACCACTTTTGGAAGTTGAGTTCTCGAAAAAGTGCACACCGTTGTGGCGCGAAGCACGTCGAAGTCAAAATGTACAAAACACCACATGCGCCGACCACTTTTGGAAGTTGAGATGTCGAAAAAGTGCATGCCGTTGTGGCACGAAGCACATTTCCAAGTCAAAATGTACAAAACACACCATGCTCGGACCACTTTTGGAAATTGAGATGTCGAAAAAGTGCACACCGTTGTGGCGCGAAACACATTTCGAAGTCAACATGTTAAAAACACCGGGGGTTCCAACCACTTTTGGACGTTCAGATGTCGTTTCGCGTGGCAGGCGCAAGGGATTATGGACCTTGTCAAAAGTGAGCAATACGTGAGGGTTTTGCAGCAACTACAACCACCACTACACTACACTACACTCTACTACACTACACTACAACTACAACTACACCAAGGTTACATTCCACTATCCTACACTACATTACACTACACTACACTCCACTACACTCCACTACACAACACTACACTGCATTTCACTACACTACACTACACTACATTACACTACACCCCACTACACTACAACTAGACTACACTACATTCCACTACACTACACTACATTACACTACACTACACTCCACTACACTACACTACACTCCACTACACTACACTCAGGTACACTACACTACACTACATTACACTACACGAATTACATTACACTACACTACTTTACACTAACTACAACTACAACTACAACTACAACTACAATGACAACTACAACTACAGCTACAGCTACAACTACAACTACAACTTCAAATATACTACATTACACTACACTACACTACACTACACTACACTACACTACACTGAATGACGCTAAATATGCGCCTACAACTACAACTACAACTACATTACATTACAGTACGCTAATTGCATTACACTAAACTACACAACATTACACGCTACACAACACACTACACCACACCACACCACACTACACTACACCACACCACACTAACTACAACTACAGCTACAACTACAACTACATTAATCTAATTGCACTAATCCAATTACACTACACCACAACTACAACTACAGCTGCACCATCACACTACATCCAGCAGTTGTAGGTGAGGTGACCGACCAGGTGACCACTTCAACCATTGCAACCACTCCAAAAAACACAGCTCCAACCACCTTTCGGTCCATCAGTGGATTCGTTCTGCCATCCGTGATTCACAACAACCAATCTCTCCTATAGGTTTCCTATTTTTGAAACTTCCGCCACTGCCTTGTGCGGTGCTACTGGTAGTCTGGTAGTTGTAGTTGCAGTTGTAGTTGTAGTTGTAGCTGTAGTTGTAGTTCGTGTAATGTTGTGTAGTTTAGTGTAATGCAATTAGCGTACTGTAATGTAATGTAGTTGTAGTTGTAGTTGTAGGCGCATATTTAGCGTCATTCAGTGTAGTGTAGTGTAGTGTAGTGTAGTGTAGTGTAATGTAGTATATTTGAAGTTGTAGTTGTAGTTGTAGCTGTAGCTGTAGTTGTAGTTGTCATTGTAGTTGTAGTTGTAGTTGTAGTTGTAGTTAGTGTAAAGTAGTGTAGTGTAATGTAATTCGTGTAGTGTAATGTAGTGTAGTGTAGTGTACCTGAGTGTAGTGTAGTGGAGTGTAGTGTAGTGTAGTGGAGTGTAGTGTAGTGTAATGTAGTGTAGTGTAGTGGAATGTAGTGTAGTCTAGTTGTAGTGTAGTGGGGTGTAGTGTAATGTAGTGTAGTGTAGTGTAGTGAAATGCAGTGTAGTGTTGTGTAGTGGAGTGTAGTGGAGTGTAGTGTAGTGTAATGTAGTGTAGGATAGTGGAATGTAACCTTGGTGTAGTTGTAGTTGTAGTGTAGTGTAGTAGAGTGTAGTGTAGTGTAGTGGTGGTTGTAGTTGCTGCAAAACCCTCACGTATTGCTCACTTTTGACAAGGTCCATAATCCCTTGCGCCTGCCACGCGAAACGACATCTGAACGTCCAAAAGTGGTTGGAACCCCCGGTGTTTTTAACATGTTGACTTCGAAATGTGTTTCGCGCCACAACGGTGTGCACTTTTTCGACATCTCAATTTCCAAAAGTGGTCCGAGCATGGTGTGTTTTGTACATTTTGACTTGGAAATGTGCTTCGTGCCACAACGGCGTGCACTTTTTCGACATCTCAACTTCCAAAAGTGGTCGGCGCATGTGGTGTTTTGTACATTTTGACTTCGACGTGCTTCGCGCCACAACGGTGTGCACTTTTTCGAGAACTCAACTTCCAAAAGTGGTCCGAGCATGGTGTGCTTTGTACATTTTGACTTGGAAATGTGCTTCGCGCCACAACGGCGTGCACTTTTTCGACATGTCAACTTCCAAAAGTGATCCGAACCCGTCAGTTTTTTACATTTTTGACTTCGAAATGTGCTTCACGGCACAACAGCGTGCACTTTTTGGACATCTCACTTTTGACTTGGAAATGTGCTTCCGGCCACAACCGCGTGCAATTTTTCATCTCTCATCTGGCCACTTGGCTCCGCACCCGCCGCTTTAGCGAGCCTACTTTTCGACCCTCCGGAGTGACAAATCATTGGAAAAAACAGAGTGAGTCGCAACTTTCCTACCTTTTCGGGCACCTGGATTTTCTTTCTTCTGAGACTTTCTCTTCTCTGATCTTCTCTCTTCGGCTCTTCTCTTCTCTGACTCTTCCCACCTCTGCTTTTCATCTGTCCATAATGTCGGAAGTTTGACTTCTAAACTTCCTTCGGCAACTACATACACTACACTACACTAATTACATTACACTACATCACACTCCATTACACTCCACTACATTACACTCCAGGGCACTACAGTCAATTACACTACACTACACTACACTGCACTCCACTACACTACACTCCGCTACACTACACTCAATTACACTACATTACACTGCACTACACTACTCTACACTACAACTACAACTACATCTACAACTACAACTACACTACACTCCACTACAGTACACTACACTCAATTACACTACACTGCACTTCACTACACTACACTGCGCGACACTACAGCTACAACTACAACTAGAACTACAAGTACACCTGCCACTAGACTACGCTGCACTACACTACACTACACTACACTACACTACACGAATTACACTACACTACACCACACCACACCACGCCACGCCACACCACACTACACTGCACTACACTCCACTACACTAATTAATTACACTACACAACACTACAACTACAACTACAACTACAACTACACTACACTACAGCTACAACTACAACTAGACTACTTTACACTACACTACACTAGATTACACTAGACTCCACTACCCTACATTACACTAGACTCATTACACCACCACAACTGCAACTGCAACTGCGCTACACTAATTACACTACACCACAACTACAACTCCACTACACTACAACTACAACGACAGCTGCACTACACCACACTACATCCAGCAGTTGAAGGTGAGGTGACCGACCAGGAGACCACTGTAACCACTCCAAAAAACACAGCTCCAACCACCTTTCAGTCCATCAGTGGTTTCGCTCTGCCATTCGTGATTCACAACAACCAATCTCTCCTATAAGTTTCCTATTTTTGAAACTTCCGCCACCGCCTTGTGCGGCACTACTGGTATATATATATATTATGAATCACATCTTGGTCTGCTGAGGTGAAAGCAGAACATTCGTCCTTGTGGATAGTGACTCGCGGTTCAGTGGAGGTGGCTGAAAGCGGTCAAGTACTTGGCACCTTGGAAACCTCCGGCATCTTCGGTGACTCTGTGGCTTTTGGACGTTGTGACCAACAACCCTTCTCAGTCACTCCGATGAAAAACATATTTTTGTTTTTTTGGATATATTTATTATTCTGATGATATTTTTGTATATTTTCAATTTTTTCTGTAAGTCACATATGGGCATATGGATATTATTGTGATGTCCAGCCCATTTGTAACTGCTTTGTCGCTGTAGTAATCTTGGACTGCACTTCTGTATACTTCTGTCAAGTACAAGCATCAATCAAAAGGTCCTCTTGGTAGATTGCCAGGTGAAAGTTTTGCAACTTCCGGTCATCGCATGGTGCTTGCCAGCAGCTGAATTGCAGCAAGTCTTGAGATCACATCCAGCAGCAGTTGCCATCATGGATGAATTCGTGGACCAGCAGGAGAAACGTGTGATCTGGCCTCGAGTCTCTCGACTCATCATGCTATCTCACACAGGTCCCAACTTCACCAAGCAACTGCTGAAGAAAGCGCTGGTGAAGCATTTCAGGGCCTTCAGCACCATTTGGTCACCTTACCAGACTCAGACCAGCATGCGAGTGGTCGTTTGTGGCAAGGTTCTAGTTCAGAAGAATACTCCTTCGGATTTTGAACTCAAGTCATGCCTGAGCATGACGATCAATCCGGTAAAGGAGCGGAGAAAGACCGTGCAGATCGGCGAGCCTGACAAAGTGGAGGTGGATGAACTGCCCCTTTCGCTTCAAATTGGCCGTTTGTATTTTTTTTGGCAAAGTTGTCACATGTTGACATATCATGGCATATCATATCACATGCATTGATCATACTTATTGCACGTATTGATAGGTTCGACTAGTTGGATGCTCACAATTTTCACCGCCTCTTTTCATGACTTTTTCGCAGCATGTCAGGCATCACGTTCGGCGCTTGAGTGACCCTGAAGCCGTATCTCCAACCTATCTGGCGCAAGAACATTTGCTCAGCATTAGGAGCTCCTCAACGATGGGGAAGGATTTCAGTATGGCACCTTGGCTGAGCCGCTGCAGCAAATTTTCATTTTCATGATGCAGTCATGTTTAGTCATCAAATCCTTTGCAAATATGATCATTTGTTTACCTGTGGACTTCTGCGGCCCATTTTTAAGGGGTCATATGGCCGTAATTGCGAAACGCCCAAAAACAAAGAGACAAAAACTGTCGCAACCTGACCCGAAAAAAGTGGCCAAACCCTCATATCATCAAAATCTTGATCCTTAGAGGTGCCTTTTGCCAATGTTTCTTTACGATTGCTATAACGCCCAAAGAACAAGTGGCCAAACATAGCCATAGTCAGATCATAATATGGTCAAATCATGTCAAACCTATAATTTCACCCGAAAAACGAACTTTATCAATAGACAAATCAAGGTTGTTTCAACTTCACACCCATATTTGGCAGGGTTCTGTTTGGGGGCGCTTCGACAGACAGGGTTGCGCTCCTGCGTTTCTAGCGAAGAACTCTACAAACTTGTCGGACAGCAACAACCCCGCGAAACCTCAAAGACTGCAGGGCCAAAATAATGGCCAAACCTGTACGTCCACGAAAATGTTTGTTATGCATGGTTATGCAGGATTATGCAGATGATATATTAAAAGCATTTGTAAAGAAATGCCATCTAACAATAGACATTCAATAAATCCATACGTGCATATCAATATGTTCTATGGGTATAAATACGGTATAAATGTATGCAATTATGTAAAGATATTCTCCTGGCCCTGATTTTAAAATCGGTGGAGGGGACTCATCTTGCAATTGCTTTTTGGATTCCTTTTTTTTGGTCCAACCTGTTGATTCTCACTGATTTTCAACTGCCTCTTCTTTTCCTTTCCTCTCGTCTCCTCTCCTTCCACTCCTCTGAGCCTCTCCTCCCCAAACCTCCGAGAATCACAAGAGATGGACTTGCAGCGCCTGGCATTTTGGGCAAGGCAAAGCTTTGCGCCTTACTGAATTGGGCACCGCCTCGCTTAAAACCAGTGGTTTTAAATGTTTTAAGCAAGCCAGTCAGTTGTGCTGTTTGTGAAGGTTTGGAGGGGAGAAGAGAGGATATTGTTGAAAATAGCCGGGACTCACCACACTCTAGAAGTGATAGGCTTCTGCAGGCACAGGTTTGGCGTGGCTTTGGATTACGGTTTCAGATGAAACGCGGTGGCCGAAATGCACGGTTGGGACACCTAAAAGACATCATACCCCCCACACCCCCTCCCCCTTGGGTCCAGGGGGATATGTGAGCAAGGACCTAAAAGGTTCATGCAGAAACCTTTACATGGGAGGTCATATGGTGGAAAATGTTGCCCAAACCATGGAAATCGATATGGTGAACTTCTTAAAGCGATGGCGTGATTTTCGCAACCACATCGATAACGTAGCGATAACCAAACATTTCCAAAAGGGGCCCCGGGCAGCCAGAGACCCAAGCCATCCCTGTAGTGGCGCGCTTCAACTTTCCGTCACTGTCTTGAAACATCTATATACTTGGAGTGGTCCAGCCTGGCCTTGAAACCTACCATTGTATATAACTTTGACCTATAGATCCAAAGACATGAGCAGAATCTTCAGAATCAGAAGGCGCGCAACAGTGCAAAAACCAAACTGTTTTGAGGGAAATTCCTTCGGCACTTTGAAGACAAACAGTCGACAGCAGACTGCTGACCATGAAGTGTCCCTATTGTTGATTATGTGGAGATGAGTGGAAATGGATCTCCAAATCAACAGCCATTGTTTGACATGCTCCAAAACCACGTAACCGATATAGCGAACGATCTAAATCGATGTCGATAACATTTGCTCATGGCCGCCTTTGTGACCATTAGTTTTGGTATGTTTCGGTACCCGGTCATATATAAATATAAGTAGAAGTGTATTAATATATATATATAATTATAGGAAACTCATGGCCTTCTCTGAAGACTGTGGGTCGATGGAAGAGTCTTTGATTTTGGACCATGGTCCTTTTTTAGTAGGCGTTTGGAGGCCTGATACAAACGGTTTGTCATGTTTCACCCTCAACTTCGACATCCTGCGCCATGGAAGTTTCTTTCAGGACCTGCCGGATGAAGATATCGAGAGTAGCGACAGTGAATTTGCTGCCTATGAAGAAGAAAGTGAGGAAGAAGAAGACTCTTCTGCCTTGAGCGGCAGTGACTTGAACAACAAAAACTTCGGCTGTGTGCTGGTTATGGGTCAAGGGGTTCCGGGAACCATTTGGTACCCTAAGTCATAGCTGGTTAATGGATGTGTATTTTCCCCAAACATGATAATCACGTAGGTTTTGACTGATTCCCAGATGTCTATTTTATTCTATTTCCAATGTAGAAATGATACATCCGCTTTGGCTAAGTATATAGATGTTTGTCCAGAGATTGTCTCAAGAATACCCATCAAGAAGCAACATCAACCATGAACCCCCAAAACAACAAATAGCAGTGTTCTTTTTGCCTCTGCCTCCCATTACATCCCTTGGCTGCATGTGTTCTTGTCACTTCAGTAGCGACAGACAATTGCTGTCCCAGGTCAGAGCGAAGATTCTGAGGAAGAGAAACTTTGCGCTGTGTCCAGGGAGTGTCCCCAATTTTGGGATCCATGAGAAACTAGATCAGTATAGTCATTCCCAAACAGATAGAAAAGCAAATCCGCATCAAAACAGTGAAGATTCACTTTTCTATTTTTTTGGGGCTGAATATATATATAATATATATATATACTACATATGTATACATGCATACATGCATAAATTGAAATCAAATAATGTCTATGTGTTCGGGTGAGAACTGCCAAACTTTGGGCAAGGCCAAGACTGGCGGAATGTCTTCATGGCCAACACATTTAGGCCTCGCTGTTTGGTAGCTTTGCACTCAACAGCTATTGCATGCACCAAATCTGAAGTTCAAGACCTAATCAAGCATGCAGTTTGCTGAGAGCCATTCATTTGTTTTGCCAACAGGGTTGAAGTTGGTTGGTGTTACCTAGACAGTTGCTTAATGCGAGATGCGTTGGTCAACTTTTTTTGTCCCAGAACGGGTTTAAGGGATAGGTTTCGAGACACACCCCAACTTGATAAAATCAAGATTCCAGTAGATTTTCCCCAACCCAGTGACTCTGATACAGTTGTGAAACAGACAAGACGTGACTGCACACAATGTTGCTGCAATGGGCTCAGGAATGTCTATGAGTTGCCAGAAACTCTAGCACATCTTCAACCATCGGGCCAGATACAGGCAGGACTGGAAGGTGTTTTTGAGAGCCACAAGTATGGCTACAAGTCATGTTTTTAGACATATGGGTAGCCCCAAATCATCTCGGATTTTCCATGAAACCATCCAGCTGGGTTACCCCCATGAAATCGAGATATCAGTGCCAGACAGGCCAAAGCCGGACCGCAATGCTTGGCCTTCAACGAAGCAGCGCTCATAGGTTATGACATGAACGATCAGGACACGGCCGGCCATCGCAAGGCATAAAGAGAGACAGTCATTTTAATGATGCCGCGCATCATGTCGTCAACGATGTTTTTTTTCCAAAAATCTCATATACACCAGAAATTGGATGATTATACACGTTTCAAACTGTATGTACATATGTATAATACATGTATATATATATATCCATACACACGCATTATATTACATTATATTACATTATATTACATTATACTACATTATATTACATTATATTACATTATATTACATTATATTACATTATATTACATTATATTAAATTATATTACATTAAATTATATTACGTTATATTACATTATATGACACTATATTGCATTATATTGCATTATATGACATTATATGACATTATATGACATTATATTACAATATATTACATTATATTACATTATATTACATTATATTACATTATATTACATTATATTACATTATATTACATTATATTACATTATATTACATTATAGTAAATTAAATAGTAAATAAATCTATATATAAATATATTGTTACAATCAAGAATCATCATCATAATCATCAATAGCCAGGAGCAATACCGGACCATCACGGCGCTGACGGACTGCATCGTTTGCGATATCTCACAGGAGCCACCTGGCACGGTTGCCAGAATAGAATCGTTAAATAATGATTAAATAGCTATGAGTGGCAATATGATATCATGGTTAATATTGGTTAATGCTTAGCAGACTTAGCAGTTTCATACCGCTGGCAACAAGGGAATCCATATATATATATACATAATATTTTTGCAGTCCGCAACAAACATCAGCGGCCCTTTCGTCGTCTTTCCTCCTAGTGGATGGTGAGGTCATTCCAAGAGGCCATCCAGCGAGCTCCGCGTGAAAAGAAACGCTTCAACTTGTTGGCAGCAGCACGGTGCCTCGGGAGCCATGAGAACTTTGATCGACATTCAACTTGACAACTACAAACTGTTAAAATGAAAAGAACTTGAGAACTTGGCCAGTTTTCCAATTTTTGTTGAAAGATCAACTCATTTTTGTGAAAAATGGAAGAACTCTCTGGTTGATCACTGGCGGAGTTCCCAGTTTCTCAGGTACAAGGAATGGGAAAGGTGCGGCATCCACAAGCTCACCACTGTAGAGGCTGGGACACTGACAGTGGTACCAATTGGCGTGCAAAATTCTTCATTAACAAATTTGAAACCGCTCATGTTAGAGGGTTGATCCTCTTAACCCATTCTTATCCCATTCTTATTTGGGAACTTTTTGGGTATCCCCATATTTGATTTCCAGTTGTCAGGTACTCTCCAAGTGTTCCAAAGAGTTCCTCTCGGATCTCGCACAACAAACCGTGCCGGCACTGTTCTTTCACGGCGCTGACATGATGGAAGACACCAAAGATGGCCTTGTTTTTCTGATGAGTGGCCATGCAGATCGCATTTCCAATGACCACAAGCGCTTCCTGTCAGCCTGACAGCGTTGACAAATTGAGAACATCAGGCCATGATACCTAAAAACACATCCCAATTAGTTGGGTAAATGACATTGAATGACCACATATATCATATTTCCACGCAGATCTTAAAGGACTTACCATGACTTAGCCAGTCGATTAGGATCGCCTGATCTTTGGGACGGTGGTTTGAACCAAGGCTACAAGATTCAAGCCCCCGAGATTCTGAGCAAGATCCATTGGCTGGGGGATCAGTCCATCGAGTTGGCTGCCAAAGTGAAAGCCAAGGAAGTTTGCCAAACGTTGTACTTACAACGCTCCCAGTTATTGGGCCTCTTAAGTGTCTTGGATTGTCTTGGATTGTCTTGGATTGTATGAAACATGATAAAATGATTCATGGCAAAAGAAATGGGGAGTTCACCAAGTGGGAATTTTTCAGCAAGCAAAATGGAGATTGGCCAGAATTGGGGGTGCGTCATGTCACCTTTCGATCTCTATGGTAAAGAATGGAGGGAAGAACGTCCACAAGCCCAGAAGCAACAGCTATTGGGTTTAATTCATAGCTACTGTATGTCAGTCAAGTCAATCCCCCAAAAAACAACCTGTCGGATGTTTCGCGGCGCCTTTTCGCTGGCAAACCAGCCAAAACGCTTGCTGTTGGGGCTCCACTTCCCCTGTCATCCATTCCATAGCTGTGAGGCTCTCATCCTCACCAAACTGCGGTCATTGTGGGTGAGGCCACACGTTTAAACGCTCGGAAACCGACTTCACGAGTGGCCAAGGTTGCTCGTGGCGGGGAGTTGCTTGGCAATGGGTGTTTCGTGGTTGAAACAGTTTCAAATCTGATTTCCCCACATTAATTAATCAAATTGGCGTTTTTTTGTTTACCCAGTTTTGGATCCAATCAGGTTTGATTTGCATCCTGTGCCAATCATATTTGCCCTGAAGGGAACTTAATTCCATCCTCATATGATCTCATATTCACATTTCTCGCATCTTCCGATGTACTTGTACCACATTTAATGAACTAGGAACGCCCGAGCTCCCAAAAGCGTTGTCAAGGTTTGGGGCCACGTTGGGCCGGTTGTTCATCCCAGATCCCTCTGGGTCAGTGGTCGGGTCCAAGGAATCAGCTCTTTTGGTATTGCCCTTTTTGCGAGAACTTGGGTGCCCACTTCTTGTCAGAGCTCATCAACAGCCACGTGGCATTCGTCGCATTCACGTTCGTGGGGAAAAACGTGCAGTCATAGGCGAAATTTGTCAAGGTGTAATCGTGGCGGCTGGGAAAAGTCAGGCGAAATCAATCATGCCCATACATTGCATATCCAATGCTCAAAAGACAGTGAGACTATGTAAATACTGTACAGCTCAGCAGAGAAGTCAAGTCACTCATCTGAGGTATGGAATGCTTCAAGCTGATTCCCGGGCAGCATTTGTTTCGCAACCTCCAGAGTGCTTCAGCTGATCTCATGGTCGTTCTGACCAAGGGAAAGGTCAGGACAGGCGAGAAGTCCCTGTCGGCACCTCGAATTATTTGTGGATTCGACAGATGCTCGGAATGAATAGAAACCAGATGAGGTACTTAATCGAACATCCCCTATATAAATGGAGGTTTTAAAGGGAGAATCAACCATGAATTGGGGTTTTCCAGTCACTGGA